AATGGGTGCGTCTAACGTAGATAGTGGTGCCCGACTGCTACCTTGTAGTTCAGTCTGTGTATGGTCAAAGGCTATGGGAGTTCACCCAACACTAAAACAACTACTACCTTATGGCATCTATAAGATGAAAAAGGCTTCGGAAGGTAATCCTGAAGAAAAATCTGGAGCCGGAGCCCCTAAGCCAGTTCGTCGTCACTTGCGACCCTGCGACGCTGCTGGTGCCAAACCGTATCGGTCTATGCCGTTCCTTTGGATCCAGCAGCTCCGTGGAGACGGGGAATTTACCGAAACATATGTATATATACATATATATATATATATATATATATATATATATATATATATATATATATATATATATGTATATATATATATATATATATATATATATATATATATATATATATATATATATATATAATCTATGTATATATATACATACATATATACATATATATACATATACATATATGTGTGCGTGTGTAGACATATAGTTAATTCTAGATATATATCTACAGTATCTATCTGTCTTGCTCAAAGAAGGGATTTTTTCAGAGTATTCGATGAAAGGATCGAGTACATTGTGATTCACAGTGAAACTGGTAAAGAGTAATTTAACAGATCGTTTTGGTTTCCACTCCAGGGAGATTTTTACCCGGGTGGAAGCAGAACCTCAGTGTGTACTCCCAGTGCCGTGTGACCTTGCCCTGCAACTTCCAATTCCACCGCTTCCCCTTCGGCTCCCACGTGTGTAACGGGACCTTCTACTTCCTCAAGGCTTCCATCGAGATGTTGTGGAGGAGGAAAGCTACAGTGGACGACGCTGAATATAATGGCGATACAAACCTCCTCGATTTCCGTCTCATCAACATCACAAGCGAAACCGCCTTCACTCCAATATCGAATGGCAGGGAAGTGACTTTCCTGGTCCTCAGCCTCCACCTGCAGAGCCTGTTCGAGTACCACCTGTTGAACAGCTTCAGCCCGAGTGCCCTCATGTTTATCATCTGCTATGCCACGCTCTTCATCCCCATCAGCGACTTCAACGAGAGGATCATGGTGTCCCTCACCGCCATGCTGGTGCTGGCGGCGCTCTTCTCGCAAGCCACCGACTCCTACGTGAGGACGCCCTACTTTAAGCTCATAGACATCTGGTACGCCGTCATCATCGCCCTCTGCTTCGTCCTCGTCCTCGTCAACGTGGGCGTGAATCGCGTCCGGCTTCATGGCTGCACTCAGCGACTTAGTACTGAGAGTGAGTGTGAAAACCTGAAAATTGCACGGAAAGGGAGAGGTAAAGCGGACACGATTAATATGATTTGTAAGATACTTATTATTCTAGTCTTTATTATGTTTATGGCAGTATTTATCATGTTTGCAGCTGAGGTTGTTTAACAGCTGCCTGCGTGGACTTCCCTTATTGGCTATCTCCTTGCCAGAGAATGAGTATTCACGAGTATAGAAGGAAAAGTTCTAAACTGGATTTAGGCCAATCAATCCATCATTTAATATCAGCTCAACATTTGACAAGACTAAACAGTATCTACGATCCACAACAAAAGAATGAAGAAGGCGTGTAAAGCCTGAGCCATGCAATCACCAACACAGGCAAGCATGCTTGACAAAAATTGTTTGAGGTTTCCAATTCTTATACCATAATATTATTATTGTCTTAATGTAACCACAACAGTGATAATTATTTTATCTGTATTTTTTGTTTCCCTCTTCCCTTCCTCCATGCCTAGCTCCTATATTCTCTTCCCCCTTCTGCTCTCTCCTTTTTTCTGTCTTATTGATAAGGCTAGTCGCGAGAGTACCCTATTGCTTGTTTGCATTTTGCATTTTTTCTATTTCGAATTTTACATTCAAAGTGAAAAAATGATTGAAAGTCAGTATCCGTGTTGTAGACATTATTCTGTTAACATACCCTATGTCTAACAACATATATTGTTATTTCCCTATCATGGGTTTCAGTATATTAGCCACTTACTGTAATCATATCAATATGCAGTTGCCATGTTAAACTAAGAGGGTCTGCAGTCACAGGGTTTATTTGGCTGCCAAACAGTGGCTATTAAAATTTGGTGAAGCGCATCTGACATGTATGGTCAGAAGCGTCATGTCGCTGATTATACTGTCCACATCCACGTCAATTTGAAATTCTCCAGCTTTATATAAAAAAGCACTGTCTGGTTTACATTGTGGAATTGTGTATTTGTCAATGGTATTTTTCTCTGCCGCCATACTTGCTTTTCTTTTATCTCTCTTCTTTAATTGAAAATAAATTAAATGAATTTATCCCTCATTGGTCCCACTTATCCTTCTGATCTTAGTGTCATAAATGACTACAGCTTAAGCCCGGGTTCCTTATTCAGACTCACGTCAGGTTCTTGAGCCACCCCCGACTGCCACACGCATAATGCTAAAACTGCATAACGATATTAAGCCTATTCCTAAAACAGCCATACAGATCCGTAATCTCCGTATAGAATTATCATGAGCAAAGACACTCTATGACGCTTCCACACGACGCTTCCTCCGTAGTTTTTCGCTCCCTGACCCCTCTTGCGCCACTTTTTCCTCACACTGCCTGCGGTTAAACAATCTACAGTTTTTAAAGACTATCGATGCTCAAAGGTCTATAATTTATAAGAAAGCGCAACATAACAAGACACCAAATTTAACAAATTAGATCACAGATTTGATTAAAACATGTTTGTTAAGCAGTTTACTCATAAATAAAATTGCCACAACAATTTCATTGAAATCTAACCAAATCTTCAGGCGAAGTGAAAATAAATTGTGATTGGTCATTGATGCAGTATACATAGAACAGGGTCTAATAATGCTTCCTAACTGACATAAAACCGCTCACAAATCAGTTGCTGACCTATTAAATCACATATATAATTGTGTGTGTGTATATATATATATATGTGTATATCTATGTATATATATGTATATCTATGTATATATATGTATATAGATGTATGTATATATAAATATGAATTATATATATATACATAAATAGATAAATTCATATGTACATATATATGTACACACACACTCACACATATATATATATAAGTGTGTATGTGTGTAAAAGTAGTAGAAGTAGATGTGTATATATGCATACACTTGTATATATGCAGATTCATACATATTTCAAATACACTTCTTTTATGTTGGTGAATGACAGGTAAGTTATTTAACTGATTTATTTCTTCTAGCCAAGAAGTGGTTTCTACAGGATCTCTTCCTTCTCGATCTATGAAGCCTAAAGTGCCCGCAAACGTGACGTCTTGGGCGAGGAATCGAAACGCAGAGACGAGGTCGCCCGGCGCAGAATAGCGCCAGTTAGAGGCCGCAGAATCTGCCGGTGGTGGCGATGTTGTGGATCCACGTGTGGTAGTCTGGAGAGGAAGGAGCCTGGATGAGACTTGCGCCTGGGTATGCAGCGAAGATGGACTGCGTGTGTGTGTGTGTGTGTGTGTTTCGACAGTAACAGTCTTACAACTCACTTGGCACGTCGGTGTAGACGCCGTATCTGCCTGGCAGCGCGCACCCACTGCCCCAGCTGACCACGCCGGCCAGGTAGTGGCGTCCATCTCCCTCCTGCACCGTCAGAGGGCCTCCGCTGTCGCCCTGCCAATGGCAGCAATTATTAGAGCGACTGAAGTAGTATCCTAGATACTGACAAGCAGATGCTAATGTGAGTTACACGCTAATCATGAACATTTTGGAGCTCCGCTCGACACCGAGCTTCCAGCCACTGAGGAAAAGCTGGGACTTGGACAATCTACGGGAGACGCACCTGGCAAGAGTCCTTCCCTCCCTCGGGCAAACCTGCGCAGATCATGTTGCTAGTAACCTGGCTTCCGTAAGCTGCTTGGCACTCAGACTGCGTCCTGATGGGCACAGTCACATCCTGGAGGACCTCTGGCTGCGTGCCACCTGCAAAGCCCAACAGAAGTCATAATAACATGGCAAAATTTCGGTTCTCAGGAGCCTCGCTCCATCCCAGAGACTTGCAGCACAGAAGGAGGGGCACTCACCTGACGATGTGGTGCCCCAGCCGGTGACCGTGGCATCCATGCCGGCATAATCCGAGCCCGAAGGAGGCATACACACAGGCTTGATGCCAGGCCAGTTGGTGAAGCTGACCTTGTCTGCGATGTGGACGAGCGCGATGTCGCTGTCGTACTGTGCAGGGCAAGAGAGGAGGGACCAATCAGCAAGGCAGAAGGGGACTCACTGGGGAGTAAGTTATCTTTCTGTTTCGACTGTCCCTGCAAAGGCTGTGCAACTTGTGACTAACCGTGCTGCTGCTGTATCGTGGGTGGATGACAATTCGGTCCACAGATCTCTTGATGATGCGAGTCGGCCCGTTGTTCCAGTCGTGCATGTTGAACAGAACTTGGAGGCTGCTTGTCGACACTCTGGGGGGGAGATGACCATTAGTTCCTCAAAGATTGCGTCGTAACATGAGCGTTCTGATGTCAGTTCAGTATCAACGAACTGCCACCACCAACAGACGGCCTCGTGTCCCTGCGCCAATCCAAAAGTGCGCATGAGCCGCAGTTGTGGCTGGGCTGCCGTGCACCGCAGGCGCGACCACGTACCCCTCGACGCAGTGGGCGGCGGTGATGATCCACTCGTTGTTGAGGATGGAGCCGCCGCAGAAGGGCCTGTCCGTCCCGCCCAGGTCGGAAAGCCCCACGAGCCACGGGTACTCGTTGACCTCGGTGTCTGCCCCGCCTACGATCCTGTTGGCGCTGTTGGGCACGCCGCACTCTGTGGGAGGAGGGGGGGAGGAGAGAGGTGGAGTGCCGGGTCCCTCCTCCGGAAAGTCTGGGCATGCTAACAGCAGGACGATGGCGAGGAAGCCGAAAACTTACTTTATGAGGAGAGCACAGGCAGAGCACACTGGATTTAAGCAAGTTTGGAAGTGAGGACATACTCATAATACATTACGTTAGTTGGACAAAGTAAGCATGCTGTCTAGAGTTCTTTTGAATCCTACAAATAATATTAAGATTTGTAGCACTTACTGCAAGGTAAGGTATTGGGGTCTCTTGTGGTGGTGGTTGCGGCAGTTGTGGTTGTAGTTGCTGGTGTGGTGGTGGTGATTGTAGTTGTTGTGGTGGTTGTAGTTGGTGTGGTGGTTGTAGTTGTGGTGGTGGTTGTGGTCGTAGTGGTTGTAGTTGTCGTTGGTGTGGTGGTGGTTGTGGTCGTAGTTGTTGGTGTGGTCGCAGTGGTTGTAGTTGTCGTTGGTGTGGTGGTGGTTGTAGTTGTCGTTGGTGTGGTGGTGGTTGTAGTTGTTGGTGTGGTGGTGGTTGTAGTTGTTGGTGTGGTGGTGGTTGTAGTTGTTGGTGTGGTCGTAGTTGTTGAAGTTGTCGTTGGTGTGGTGGTGGTTGTAGTTGTTGGTGTGGTGGTGGTTGTGGTCGTAGTTGTTGGTGTGGTCGCAGTGGTTGTAGTTGTCGTTGGTGTGGTGGTGGTTGTAGTTGTTGGTGTGGTCGTAGGGGTTGTAGTTGTAGTTGGTGTGGTGGTTGTAGTTGTTGGTGTGGTTGTAGTTGATGAAGTAGTTGGTGTGGTGGTGGTGACCGTAGTTGGCGTGGCTGAAGTGGTTGTTGAACTTGTAGTAGTTGTTACTGTGAAAGGAAAAAACATCGTCAGAAATGGAGTTGCTCTTGCACAGAAAGGTTGTTCACTTGACTGGCCATACAAACGTGTCAGGTGTCACGCCGGCCCCAAGGCGCTGCCGTAAGGGCGTGGCTGCTTCACGTACATTCTGAGGCCGTGACGGTGCAGTAGAAGCCCTTTTGCTGCGCCGAGCCGTTGGTCCGGAAGGTGAGCCTGGCCCAGGGGCCGCACGTCGTGATGGTCTCAGGCCGCTTCTTCCCGCAGTACCTGGGAGGAAGACGAGTGTCCACAGTCACTTGCGTCAGTCCAAGCCTTGGGACTTCCTCCCACAGGAGCTAAAGCAAAGCAGGCAATCTCCATTTCCAACTTACTTGCTCCAGAAGCACTTGTGCATGATGACGAGGCGGTCGTTGGTGCAGGACGGACTGCCCTCGATGGCCACGGGCGAGCAGCTGATTTCCAGCCTCACGTTCGGCGTGGCCCCCTGTGGAGATGTGTGGTGTGAGACAAGTGGCGCCACAGAAAGCCTTTGGTGTGAGTCACACACAGGCTTCCTGGGCCTGCTGGAGTCCTACCTTGATGGTCCAGTTGTTGTCCCAGTTCTTGGGGTAGTTGTCGGGGTAGCGCGGAGAGGCCACGCACACCGTCTGTCCTGCCTCGAGGACGGTCTCGCTCCCCGGACTGGCTGTGGTGCCTCCGCAAGCGACTGTGTGCAACGAAGAGAACATCAGCTACAGCTCACCAGTGAGTAAACCATTTCCTTCTTGCAGGACTACCGTAGCCAAATACTGGATATGGACTAGCAGCTCGCGGATACAACAACACCAACATAGGAATTAGCCAAACTGATGGCCATTTATAACCACGAACAATGCAAAATAACAGAGATTCCGGATCATGGAAAGGGATACTCACGTGTCCTCTGGAGATGGCGAGGTTCAATACCGCTCGAGTTGCTCCTATCAGACTGAAACACCAAAAAAGGAAGAATTATTTCTTTCAAATATGCCTCGACTTTGCTTTCCCATAATATACAATCGAAGAACTGTATAAATCTTTGTCAGCTTCGTGCTGATCCAGCTCATCAAACAGCCTATCTGTGCCTCCTTCGCCAGTCAAGCCGAACAGGAGAACCCATGCCTCCCGCATTTCGCCCCCGAGGCTCTCGTACCGAAAGCAGGTGATATGCCTGGCCTGGAAGTGCCATGGCGGCCGCCAGCACCAGCAGTGCCGCCAAGGCCGATTCTCCAGCTAGTCGTGCCATCGCTGTTGTGTCTGCAGATTCCGCTTCTGGTGCTGAAGGGAGTCGTGTAGAAGCTGCTGACGCTGGCCCAGTCCACACTAACTTGAGGCCAACGAGCTGGCCGCTTATATGCGCCTGGATCTGCGGTATGTGCAGGTGTTGCTGGCCAGTAATGAAAGAGCGCGAGTGCGGACGGTCAGATGTGGATTATGCACGGCTGAGTTCCTCCTCTTCAAGCTGTTTCCAATTGAACTGTAGTCCACCTGTCTCCTTTGGCTCAGATCTATAGGCATAATATTCAGTAGGTCTATCAGTTAAGCCGTGATATCAGTCTCACTAGATCAACACTTACGAATGATAGAAATTTTATTTGCATTGCTGCAAGCCAAGTTTATGTTAAAACTAAAACAAATGTTATTGATTACTGGGGATTTTGACATTTTAAAAGTTAATTCTTGTCTTATCTGATTTTGTGATGAATACTGAAGTCCAATCTCATTAATTAACTGTTCTGCATCAGTAACGCCGAACATGATCAGAACTAAGTTTCTTAAGTCAGAATGAGGTAACGCATTCATCATTTTCTTATGTATTATTATTTCGTAGGTCTGTAA